AAGAGGCTGGATGCCTACCTGGCTGGACTCGTTTGAGTCCCATTTCTCTTTTTGGGGTTTTTTGTTGTTCTCCCGCCCTGGCGGGGGGTCGGGCTAGAAGATCTACTAGGTCCCTTCCGACCCTTAATCTATGAATCTATGAATCTATGAATCTAGGTGGAAGTTAGAAAGGCAAAGGGTAGACAAGGAGGTGAGGAGAGGAAGTAGAGAGAAATGTGTAAGTGGTAAGTTCAGGCAGGAACCTGGTGAATCAGATGAGGCAGTTTGTAATGTGTCATAAATCCAATGTCTATATTAAGTCCATGCTTTTTTGTATCCAGAAGATTTATGAAGGGAAGCTTGTAGGCTCATCTAGAAAAGGGAACTTACCCCTCCACACATGCACCCACATCCTGTCACACACTTCAACCCCTACCATACCCCCACACACACATCCAATACTGTCCCACACACCCCAACCACACATCCCATATCTGCCACATACATCCACACTTACACTCCACACACACACCCCTCACACTCCCCCCACCATACCCCCACACATACACGAGTTCCACATACCCCACACCTTTGTCAACCACAACCACACACCTTTTACACACATCCCACACCCACACACACCCCACCTGCACCATACCTACACACCCCAACCATACCCTCCACCCCTCCACACACAATGTACAAGGAACACCCCCCAGCTCCAAAAGGAGTACTTCCTAGGCAAGGGGAGAAAGATCAGAGGTTAGGAGGGAGGGATTTTCGGTCACAAGATGGTGACTGGGGGTGGGGCACCCATCAAGGGGCAGGGCTATTCTTGTGGTGCCCGATGCCTTACCAAAACTTGTGAAGTGGTCCTCCCGCCGAAATAACTGCCTACTTCAGTCTATAAGATGCACATCTACCCTGCCTTTTTTATTTGAATTGGCCATTACAAGCCAGATTGTCAGCTGGCAAAAAAAACAGTTTGATTTAATTGAAGTCCATTGGGTAAGAGTGTGGTTCAAAAGCTGCTTGTCATTAGTGTTCTGACTCCAGTTATAGTGGCATGATGGAAGGCTAACATTGCTACAGGAGCTGAGAAATGACTGGAGCACAGATGAGGGTTTGATTTGCTTCTAGGAGCCTTATAGTCTAGATCTTCAGGAACCAGAGCCTACTGTAGAACCCCAATGCCTCTTCCCACTCTTTTTTCCCCACCCTTGAGGTTGGAGATTTCTTTCATCCATTTTCCATTAGCTCCTCAGGGGGTGGCTTGGCAGCTCATTAGAATGGCAGTTACAATGCCCAGCATCAGAGGTCAGCGATATTTTGCTGCCCCAGGCCAGAGCTTGCAACCCACCTCCCTGCTGTGAGCTGTAAGTCTCTGTCCCTCTTCCCTCTCAGCCCTGAGAGCTGAAGGTGCTTGTACTGCAGAGGGGACAGGTGGCTTGGCACAGCTCCCTGCTTCCCAAATCCCCGTGTTGCCTTGGACCAGGTCAGACCTTCCTGAGCCAGATCTAGCATCTTTGAGGTCTGGATCCAGCCGGAGGGCCATAGGTTACCACTCCCTGTGCTACATAGTATTTTATAGTTGTACATTTTTTTTGCCCTCCTCCTGTCCCCCTGCCCTTAGTGCCAGCAATTTAAATGAGAGCTGTGTAGCCATGACTTGCACCAGGCCCAAACAGCTCCTTTTGGCCTCCTAGATAACATGGAGAGAATCAAGTCTTTATAATTCTTTCACTTGCAAGGTGTTTTCCATGGCTGTTTGTTTGGCATGGTATAACTGGGACTTCCCCACTAAAGGTAGATACAACACCTCCTGGTGGCCACTATATTACCTTTCTCTTCTCCTTTGGTTAATCAGGGTGCCTCCCTGTGCTCTATTGGCACACCTTTGATGTTAATTTTGAACTTGGGAGGCTGCCCCAGTCCACCAGAGTGACTCCTTTGCCCCTCAGTTCCGTCTCCCTGCAATCATTTCTCTCAAATTCAGTTCTGCCTACTGGACCTGTGCCCCTCAAGCTAAGCCCTCCCCACTTCCTTTGTCAATTGCACTACCTTCCCCAAGTGCCCTCAGTGGCCTCCCCCATGCCTCAGGGCTCAAAATGCAGTGAGCAAAACTCCACCACAATTAATTTGCAGCTGGGAGAGCCTTTCTAAAAGCCCTCCCCAGGCTCCTGCTTGGTCCCACTGGCTTCTGTCAGCTTGGGCCCTCCTGGTCTATGCATAGTTCCCTTCATCTCTGGTCCTGCTTTTCAGCTTTATGCAAGGAGCTACTTCTTCTTTTGCACAGTCTGAGTTGGGTTCCAGTTCCCAACTCTGTTTTCTTCAGCTCCCAGTAGAGAGCTCCTGCCTCCAGCTTTGCCCAGGTCAGACTGACCTTCTGCCTCTGGTGCAAAGTTTACATAGCCCCTGGCTCCTCCTCCTTCTGAACTTCTTATCTGGGGCTCCGTAGCTTTCTAACTTGGGTGCTCAACTGCTGGCATGTAGGTCAGATCTGGCCCATGGCCCCCATGTAATGTGGTCCACAGGGCCAGATAGGGGTGGTGCTAGCCCCAGGGCCCAATGCTCAGATGTGGAGGCAGCACAGGACCCAGTTGTGGTGTGGGAAGGGGGCACCAGGCCCCCAGGACACAATCCTGCTGTGCAGAGGCAGGAATGGGCAGTGCCAGGCCCCTGAGGCCTGTTCCCTTGTGGATAAGGGCAGGAGGGGGTGGCATGGCACCAGGCCTTCCTGGTCCAATCCCAATGGAGGGGGGCAGGTTCCTGGCAGCCAGACTGGTCCACAGGGAGGGGATCTGACCCATAGATGAGCCCCATGCCACTTACGTTGCTTGTGGGGCAGAAAGATTGAGCACCACTGTTTTAACTCTACTGCTTGGTCCTACTTTCAGTAACAGGGCATAGCCCAATACACAGGAGTAATAAAGTTTGATAAGATCTGGATTGTCTTCTTTCTCACAGCTGCAAAAGCTGACTCTGCTCATAAAACTGCTAGGAGCAATGATGTGAATAAATGTAATGAGATTTGCCTATTCCACATCTGGAAGTTCTGCAAACATAAAGGTAAGTCTTCTGAATAAGGTCCTCTGCTATCCTCAGAACTTACCCTTGGTGTCTGACTGGTACTGAAAAATGGAAATTTCACAACCCTAAGTTAGTAGGGGTGAGTCTTAAAGTACATTAGCTGATAACTGTGCCCAACTGGTCTCAAGTCAGTAATACAAAAAGATGATCAGAGTGGTGAAGATATTGAGAGGATAGCCAAAGACTGAGATAAGGCTTCCAGTTCAGAACTTGCTCGATGCAGGAGGCATTACACAGGAATTTCATGGGCAGAATACTTTAGGCATTAGACATCATACTTCAAAATTAATTCTTTAAAAGACAGAAGAAAAAAACAAGAACATGAAGTCATCAGATTCTCTGTCTTGACTATGAAGCCGTCATGTATATCAGTACCTACAACAGATGAATGTGCATGTCAGATGGTAGCCATATTTATTTTCTGTTAGGCCACTGACCCCAAAACTCCTTTAGAAGCTGAGGGAGAAATAAAAATAAAACTATATCACCAGGGTTCCCTGGGAGCTTCATGCTGTATATCTGCCCTTTTGATAAGTGATTTGTCAACAAATTTACTCTCAACTTTGCTGGTTTCAGCTCTGCCACAGTCAATACCTAGGTAAAGAAAGATGTGTGGATTCTAGGACCTAAAATCAATAATAAATTATGCTTATGCTGCTTCCCTAATCAGAGGGGATATGTTTGTACTCTGGTATTCTCAAGTGCTAAGTTCACATTAATGGATTAACTCTTGATTTACCCCAGGATAAATGGGCATAAAATTAAAAACAGGGAAAGGACAGAGGATAAAAAGGATTCGGCTGCTGCTGGCCTCTTGGTTTATTTCACTGTCTTGCCATTGGTTTGCTTCAAGGTTGCATGATTCTTTTGCTGTGTTTCCCTTTTCCTTGTAGAAAAATGCAGGATGCTTCATTACCATCTGCCTTATCGATGGCAGGTATTTAATGGAGTAAATTGGAACGACCTTGACAAAATGGAGGAAATTGAAAAGGCCTATTGTGACCCGAACAATAGCAGGTATCATGGTGTTTGGATCCTTTTTTGCTAAGCCATGTAAGAGTAACCTGTAGTACTATGTTAAAGCCCATGGAGAAGACTACTGCTGAAAGATTTTTACTGACCTCTTAAGAATGTCAATGAGTTTTTTCAGTGAACAGGATTTGGGAGAAGACAGGGGGAAAGTAAAATGTGAAAAGGAGAATGGAGAACAGCTAGACAGCAGATGGCTCCATGACAATGCTTGCCCATTTGGAATAACCTGTACAGTGTGTTGAAGATCAGGACTGGCCCATCATATGGTTACGCAGAGCAATTGCTGAAGGTGGTGGAATTGAAGGAGAGGGTAGGGGGAATTTCTGGAGCTGAGTTAAGAGTTTCATAGTTAGTAAGGTCAGAAGGCACCTGAGCAGATCATCAAGTCGGACCCCCTGCCATGGCAGGAAAAAGTCCTGGGGTCCAACAACCCCAGCAAAGTGATTGTCTAGCTTCGTCTTAAAGACCCCCAGGGTAGGAGCCAGCACCACTTTGCTTGGAAGTTGGTTCCAGCTAGTAGCTTTTGACTGGTATTGACCATTAAGCTATGTGAATATGAGAGCTGGATAGGGCAACAATATTTATTTCACCCAGGGCAAGTGAAATAGCTAGGGCCAATCCTGGTTATGATTTTATAGACTAATGACATGTCTGTAGTATCTAGTGCATCTCTAACTTTCCAACTTTTTTTTTTTTTTAAAGTAAAAAACCCAAAATGCACATGACACTTTTTTATGAAGCACTTATTGTGAAGAATGGGAGTGTCCAATTTGACCACTTACCTTCCTTATCTTCCTGTTAACTGCTTGTTGGGATGCTCCATCTTAGAGGGACTTATCCTTCTACCCATGGTGCACTGGGTCTGAAGACGAGGGCTGGCCATCAGTGGTTACTTGGATATTCTCACTTTGTCTATCTAGAAAGCAAAGGGATTTGCCAAGTATCTTTGGCACTGTCCTCCAAAGAAGGCTGAATTCTGAAGTACTTTTCATAATAGAACTGGAACTAATCCATCCCCAGTTAAACTTTAAACCTTCTTTAGAATTAAAAGCCAGTGAATTCAAAGTGCAGCCTGAAGGCCAAATACAGCCTGCAGAATCCAAAAATGTGGCCAGTTTTTGTAACTGCAAATGTGAGGACGACACTGAGAAACCAGTGATTTTATTGCTGAGAACTTCAGGACCACACAATTTATTTTCTCCTAGTGAGGAAGATACAAACACAAGTAAGTAGCATCATACACATTTTAGTTAGTTACCCCGCAAAAGTTGGAAAGTTAGGGATGAAGCAATGGACATCTTGGACAATTCTGGTTAATGATATAGGAATAGTGTCAGCTCTTTTGCAGGTTGGATGGAGTTCAGTCAGAAGGATCTGAGGTTCCTGAATCAAGACATCCCAACAATTGGGAAACTATAGTAGTTCTGGTATATACTGCAAAAGACATCTTCCTTTTATAAGCAACATTAAACACAGATGGCCACATATTATGAAGGGATTTGGGCTAAAGAGAATAAATATGCAGAGTCCATTCTTGTATGAATTCTATGAATTTATCTTTTATAGCCTTCCAGTTCGGAACATCAATTTTCAAAAAATGATGTATGCCTTTGCTAATCTTCGTCGCCTTTCTACACCATCATCTGTTACAAAGCCTCCAAAATTCATACTGACGACAAAGTGGATTTGGTATTGGAAAAATGATCAAGGCCAGTGGATTGAGTATGGAAAACAGGTGAGAATCCATCCTGAAGATCCCTGTCATTCACTTATGTGAGGATTTATGAAATCCGTTCTCCTCTGATACTAACGTGTGCATCCTAACAGCATTAGCTAAGTTTGGACTTACTGAGTAACTAGGCATCTTAAAATGTGTCATTTAGCAATTAAGAACCCTTTGTTTTAGAAAGGACTAGTATCTGTCTTTTTTTACTACCATAAACAGAAATAATATACATTTTATCACTTTACCAGCAGAGGTCAGAATTCATTGCTCATCTTTATCAGGGAGTGAAGAAAAGTAGTTATATAGAGTTTGTCTTCTCTAGAAAGATTTAATCAGTGCTTTTTTTTTTTTTAATCTTTTCCATTCTACAGGATGGAAGCCATGGACCTTCCTCACTAACTTCTAATGATCTGGAGAATTTATTTCTAGCAGATCCAAATGAAACTGTAGACTTTCAGACTGGCTCTCAACAGTATCAGATCTGTTTTAAAGGTATTGTACCCATATAACGCATAGCACCTTAGCTTACTGTATTTTCTTGTATATAAAACACTCCAGAATATAAACACACCTTATTTTTGAAAAGCAAAATGAATAAAAAATCTTTTCCTGTAGTAAATGAGCTAGAAAGCTGAACCTGCTCATAGGAAGTAGAACAATGGTTTGCTGCAGAGTCTACGTTCTGTTTCACCAAGTAAACTGGCAAAACCTGCTCTTGCCATATTACTTGCATACAATGTGCACCTCAGTTTCCAAGAGCTGTTTTTTGGGAAAAAGTTGTGTGTTGTATGTGAGAAAACACAGTATTTTGAGTAACCTTCATGTACCGAGTCAGAGTATTTTGCTGGGAGAAGTACTACAGAGAAGAAATATTACAGTATATAGGGTTGGATTGATGGCTATACAGAAAGAGGAATGTAGTCTAGGGAGGGTGCAAGATCGTGAGAAAACAGAAATCCACAATCTGTAAAGTAGAGAAAATGTAAATAAGTATTCAGGGAGAGTGATTGCACAATGGAACAAAGACAGAATTCAGCGGAGAAGAATTGATAAGGTGCACAAAGTAGGGAAAAAGAATGTTTTTGAGGAAGACACTTCCCTTAGAGCAGGGGTGTCAAACATACAGCCTGCTGAGCCATATGATCCAGTCTGCGGGGCTTTGGGATGGGGCTGGATGTAGGGGTAGGGCAAGTGGGCATGCTGTTGAATTTCAGGGTGTAGAGTCCTATTGGGAAACACATTTTGAGAGCAGCATGCCAAGAAACAGTTGTTAACTCCCCCTGACTCCCTGAGGAGACAGTGGCTCCCACCCTTGCCATTAATCCTGCTGGTGGGGGGTCTGGATCTGGCTCACAAAGAACTCATGATTCAAATCCGGTGGGGGTACAAGTGAGTTTGACACCTCTGCCTTGTATTTGACCATCAATTCTTTGGTTCTTACTCAATGAGATCACGATTTCACCTCCCCCCGATCCCTGCCAGATCCTGCAGTCTTAATTCTAAGCTTCCAACAAGTTTGTCATAAGAGTACTTATCCCAGCTGAAACCTGCCATGCTTCTGTAGCAGCTGTAGTCTGGAAATCTAAGTGCTTTATAAACATTAACATAGGCATTCTTACAGTCCTCTGTCATCATTATTATTATATTTGTTTTGCAGAAGAGGGATCTGGGTAGATGGCACTCAGGAAGTTGCCTGTCTTCCATGCCAAACTAATCTTCCTCCTTTATATACTAGTCACTAACTCCACTTGAGGTTTAAATGAAGCTAAAACAAGAAAGGAAAAAAGAGAAAGAGCCTTTCTTTAAAGACACTGGGAAAGTATGGGGGGGAACCATATTTGTGCTGTTTAAAGTGAACTTTCAAAAATATAAAGTGACATGGAGGAAGCAAGTGAGTTTTAGAACACTGCTGCTCAACCTTTTGGCTTCCACAGGCCAGATGGGTGGTGTGGGGCTGTTCCATGAGCTGGATGGAGCCCCACATGTCATGATTGGGCCCTGGGGCTCTGCACTATCCTTTCTCTGTCCCAAGTTCTGGGAGTGGGCCCTGACACCACCCCCTCTTGCCCCTGCATGACAGGATTGGTCCTTGGGGGGTCTGGCCCCAAACCACCAGGATTGGGCCCTGGCCAGGGACACAGTGTGAGGTGGGAGGGCAAGGTACTGGGATTGGGCCCTAGTGCCCATGGTTGCCTCCACCTAGCCCTGCATTCTGGGATTGGGCACCCAATCCAAAAACTTGCTGGCAAGGGAGTGCTTGGCACCACTTTCCTGCTACCAAGTTTCTAGATCCACGGGGAGCCCCATGGAGTGGATAGACATTGGCCTGTAGACCATATCTGGTCTGCAGGCTAGAGGCTGAGCACCCGTGTTTTGGAGGGACAGGGAAGTTGAAGAGGTTACAGGGAATAGACAGAAATTTGAGATAACAGTATATGCTGCTGTTCCTAACCAGGAAGTTTAGAAGTACCCTTTAATTGATTTTTTTTTTTTTTTTTTTTAAATGGTGGGGTTTTGTTTTTTAACTCTTGCTGTACAAAATGTGTTTACATATGACTTTATTATTACTACTACAACTATTATTTAATCTCTTTCAAGAAATGGTCCAGAAAAACGTCCTTTATCAAACTCAAAGAGAGGTCCGCCGGCGGCCAAAATTTGTGTCTTCCGAAGATGTGGAGAAGATAAAGAAAGGGTACTTGACAACATGTTAGATCTTGTTTATTTCACTGTGAAACAAAACACTCCTCTGTAGACTAGCATCTGCCACTAGAGAAGGCCTATGATGGTCTTGGGAGTTTTGCTTTGCTGATTGCCATTGTAGTAGACTGTACTGTAGAGGACTCTGCACTTGTAAGTTTTGAAGAGCTGCATGCTTTGGTGGAATGATACAGCAAACAATGCTTGTTTTTAGATGGCTGCAACAATGTGCAATGATGCAGTCACTCATGTGAATGGGAATTTGCCAGTTCCTGCAGTACAGCCTGTCAAAGCTGACAAGGCTGCTGGTGATGGGCATTTGTCTTTCATGAAAAACTTTGTAAAGAACTGAAAAGTGACATCCAAAAGACACTGGGGAATGATTCCTACTGGAAACCCAGATTCCGTGAATGATACTCATTTCACAGTCTGTGAGAACAAAATGAAACTTTTGCAAGGATACAAAGGGGAGTAAAAGAGGCTTATTCTGGGGGAAAATCAGTTTGGGAGAAGGTTCCAGGCAATAGTAGACATAACGAAGACTCATCTCTGGGTTTCTTTTTATTTTGCAAACAGCCAAGTGGAGACTGCTACTTTAAGTCCAAACTATCCCAAAGACTGGGACAAATCTGCACTGCCTGACACTGGGTACAAGGTATTTGCTTTCTTCTTTTGCCTTCAGTGAGATTAGGCTGTTTGCATCCTGATTTTTGTGATGGAAGTACACAGTAATGTAAAGGACACGGCTTAATTACCACATCTGGTGAAGCATTCACAACCTGGGAATGTAGTTCCTAAGTGACATACTTTTAACACTATTCAGTCACTTAGTAATTCAAAGCAATGCCCATAGGCTTCTGAAGATACTGCTGTGGGCCTCACTTCCATTGATTTCTTTGAATTTAAGTACCTAAATATGTTTGTAAAAATCTGGATCATGGACTTAGAACTATGGGTGCCAACTGAGTTGGTAGGTTTCGTGAAATGCACTTCTGTTTATTAGGAACTGGGCTGAGATTACCAGCTCTCATCATATAGATCAAAGAACTAAGAGATAATGCCACCATGGTCTTTACTGGATTAGATTTGGACTGGTGACTAAGGTAATGGGATATGGAGATTTCTCACTTCTATCCCAAGACATATAGTACCATTAAATGGACCACATTTTTAGATGCGCGCATAGACCAGTCTCTTATGATAGGAGAAAGTAAGAGATGTTGATTATAAAAAACACATTTAAATCTGTTTTCATCTAAACTTGCACCTTTACTGTCCTCCCCATAGCTTGTCAAATATCTCTCTCTTCATACCTTTAAAAAAACCCACAAGATTAACATTAAATATATACCCAAGGAAATAAAACTAGCAAATAAATGCAGTGCCATTGGATAGCTAGGCATTTTTACTAGCAGTTTCAGTGGTGTCCAATTATTTTTCCTACAGATGGATTGCAAAGAATCTCTCTATTGGAGTGATTCTCCACCAAGGTTACCATGGCATCCTGGGGCACTGTGAGCTCCTTTTAAGGGTGCCATGGGGTGCCTTGAGATATTATTATCGTTTGGTGTGCTAACACCTACAGATGATTCACAAGATAAACCCGGAGATTTCATACAGAAACTCCGATACAATATGTCGAAAACATTCTGAACTGCTGTGGTCTTTCAGTGGTCTTTGCAAGAGAAGTATTGCAAGAAATGAGAAAACTGCAGTAAAAAGGTGACAAGCTAAAAGCATGTTCTGAGGGGTGCCCTGAGTCTAAGAAGGGCCCCTTGAGAACCTCTGCACTGTTGGGTTGATAGAGATTTTGTGGTTAAGGAACAGGACAGAGTCCAGCACCTTGGGATATGTTGCCAGTTCTGTCTGGCATTGGCCAGATCACATGGGCATATACTTCCTGATGGGTATAGAAGTAGCAGTGGGCATTAGAGCCCGATTCTCAGGTTGGTTTTACAGTAGCTTTCTCTCTATGGTGACAAGAATAAATTTTGGGATTTTCTGCTGACTGTGGTCAGTTGGACAGCAGAGTTCTCCAGCTATTCATATGCTGGAGCTACAGTGAGAAGCAACTAGAAGAGAGCTGTTCTAGTAGTTTTTTAGCTGTCTTTTAGGTTCTACAGATAAGATTCTGATACTCTCACTCACATTGAATAGTTCCTTTTACCATGAATTACTATTGGCAAAAGGAGCACAACACAAATATGTCTCTCAGAATCTGACACTAGTTTGGGAGAGAAATTCCTTCGAGTTTGGACACACACAGGATAGAAGGGGACAGGGTTTTACTGCATCGCATCGTCTGCTCAGTGGTAACTGTCTGGGAATATTCCTTTTGCGTGGAAACTAAATTGCAGTGACATACCTCTTTTTCACTAGGCCCTGCTGTCCTGTGTTAACTTTCCATCACTGAGTGCACCTGTTGTGCAATGAAGCCCCTTCCCCTTTTACCCTGCACTAAAGCCATTTGTTAAGTACTTAGAATTCTAAGTTGTTCTGTGTTGGAAAGTTAAATATGTAAAAATGACACCACAGATTTGAGAAATCTTTTGCATATCCATGTCCTATCAGGAGACTTCAGAACAAAGATAAGTATTTAGGTCCCAATCCTCAAATGTACCAAGGTTTCTGAATCTTTTTTATTTTAGTAATGACGTGGTAAATAAGTGTGAAGTACCTAAATATCTGAAGAGATGATGGATTGTTAGAGAGTTGAGCGCCCAGTTCATTTTAAAATTCAATAGGAATTTGGGTGCTTACCTCTTCCCTTATTTTCCTTTTCAAATCATAGCCAAAATTCTAGTTGGGTACACTTTCACAAGTGCAATAGGTTTATCTGGAGGCAGTATCTGACCTGCAGAACCATGTTATGGACAAGGGATGACAGCAATATAGAACCTACGGTGCACCCCATTTTGTTCTCAAAACCTCACTTCAGTTGCCAGGGTTGACCACTCAAGAAGAATGTTTTTTTTTTTTTGCTTTTAAACTAAGTACATTTCATATGGAAAGAAGAGTGGGGGAGGTAGGAGGGAGTTTGCCTTTATTACCTTTGTCACTTTTCAGAAGCTTGTATGCTTCATGAATTTACTAAGACTGAAGATACTAAGATGTGAAATATTACTCATTTTTAAAATCCAGTCCAGGTAGGAGCATCACTGATCTGAGCCTGAACCTTCCCAAAAACACTTATTACAGTAGTGAATCTTGCTTTTACTATTTTGTGACTGGCTGGGAATCTGCATTACTGTGTGGTATCCTTCATAACACCCGATGCTTCAAAATTGATGAATTTCTTGCAGTTCAGATATTGAAGCTTTCAGCAAGTCTGGCTACATCTGAAACAATCACTTCAAGAGAAGCACAAAAAGACTGAAGAAGCCCCTCTGTTTTTCCTTGCTTGTCAACAGCCATTGAAGAATTTATTCTCTAAAGCCTTTTTGCAGCATGAAAGATTCTATCCAAGGGAAAGGCTTAAATATGTTGTTAGACACAGATAGTCTCTGTTAGGAAATCAGATATTGTGAATTCTTTCCATTATTGTTAATTAATTCAATGGAGACCAAATGGAATTAGAAGCTGAAAAGAAACAAAAGAGCAACAGATGAACTATGATCTTGTCAACACCACCTTTGGCCGGTGTTTGATATTCTTAACATGGAATCTGTGCATCTTCCATGTCAGAGGCTTTACCTCCTTCTGTGTGGTTATTGCAGTGTTAATTTTTGTAATGCAGAACAAATGTCTCTGCTAAAAGAAGGTGAAATGACTACAATGTTAACAGCTATCTGCTTTTTCTTTTTTGACAACATGCTTAACCTACCTCTCTCTCTCATATATTCCCACCTGTATTATGAAGGTACTAATGCTTAGTCCTCTTCAAGCACTTTCTAAGATCTATAGAGAAAAAGTAATGAAGAGCAAAAATATTATGATACCAGTAAAAAAAAAAAAAAAGCTTGTAGCTTGCGTATAGTGAAATTTAGCTGGCCTTAAACAATAGTCAGAACCATCATTTATAAGTAGGTTGAATTACTTCAATGAAGTAAGTGTTTCTGCTGCTTGGCAACTAAAGTATTGTTTTGTTATGTATAGGCAAGATAGGATTCACTTCAAACTTTTTCTGTGGGACCAACATTTTCTTCGTGTCTTCATTCTACTTCCTGGCAGCAGCATCTTTACTTTTCCTGTCTGTGTTTGTGCCAACAAGAAGATTCCATAGAATTTGCTTCTGGGGAACTGGTTTCAGAAATCAGGAGGAGGCTTGGAATTGAACTAACATAGCAAGGAGGTCCTTGGTACAAATGATGGGTGGCAGGCATGTTACTACCTTCATTCAAAGCCACTATATAGAAGAACTGCAGCTTCTGCTTTTAAGGATGAGCGAGGGCTCTCTAAAAACATGGAAGTGGGATTCCATCTTTCCTAAAATTCTAGTTCCAAGGGAATCCTTCCCTTTTGAGCTTCCAAAGCATGCATGTCCATGCTGTGCCTGGCTTGGATAGATTGACAAGCGTCTCCATTTTGTGGTCCTGTTCCACGTGGTTAATAAAGATTAGTAAGTCTCCTCTTCCAAAACCAACAACAGCAAGTCCTCTGAACCAGGTAGCAAGAGAATGCTCATCATCTCTTGCAAAAAAAAAAAAAAGTCGCACCTCTGTGCTCACCAGGCCAACAAAAAATGTCTGAATTCTACTTTACCCAAGAACGTTAGTAGGATGAAGGGGAAAATAAGACTCATTGGATGAGGCTGAGGCTACAGAAAAGGTGGGAATATCTTTGAATGGGTGGAATAAGAAAAGCCTAAATGTATTTTTATTCTCCTGGATAAGTAAATGAATTGGTGCCACAAGACACTGATGTACTTTCTGCTGCTGTGGAATTTGCTGTCCTCATCACAGAACTTGGATACATTGTACCATGGAGGGAGCTGAACTCAACCTATTGTACGTTTTAATCTAGTCTGTGTACTCAGTGCTGCTAGTGGGTTATATTGTAAAGTGGCTCTCTAAAATCTTTTTGTATTAAAGACACTTACTGTATCTTTTTAAAATACTGCTTTTTAATAAATCTAAAGACTTAACCCTTGAAACACAGCTTGGTTTATTCTAAATGCTATTTTTTGATCTGCAAGGTGTCTGAGCATATTTTAAACAAATATATAAAGATTTGGTGAATCAAAGTAAATTGGATGCAGTTCTACAACATAAAATTCTCTTTTCAAGCATGTGCAGGTACCATAGCTAAATCATTTTCATACGCCCACAAGATCAGAAATGAAAATTCAACTATATCAATGATCATTACAAGCAAAGCTGTGGATTTCATATTACCTCCCCGAATATCCACACCTTCCCTTTTTAAGATGCACCTATGACACATGGGATGTTGAGTCATTCACTTCCAAGTCTTTGATTCACATGCACCTTAAGGAGCATGCAACATAAATTGTTACCAAATGATTGTAGTCTCAGGTATAGTGTACAGGTAACCACCTGAACAAAGAAAAAGGCCAAGGTCCTTTGATATACTGTATTTACTTGAATTCAAGATGAGTCCCCTCCCCTCCCCACCCCCCAGTTGAGAAGATCCTCATCTTGAATTTGAGTAAACGATGGAGTGGAGGCAAGCACGCAGCTGCTGTGGCTCTGACCCTGAGCCCAATCCCCACCCAGTTAGGCATGGCTGTAGCTCATTTCCTTCCAGGCATGGAGCATATGCATGCTCAGTCATCTTCCCAGCCAGTCAGCAGTGGCACAGCTCCAGCCCTAGGACACTGCAGTATGGCTGAGCATGGGCTAGAGTTGCATGTGCTCCATGGCCAAGGGGAAAGGAGTTCTGGAGATGCACCTGACTGTGGCAGGCTCGGAGGAACAGGGAGTGAGGGCCACCCACTCCCCTGCTCCTGCTTTCCCCACTATAGAAGTGGGATAGATACGCAGTTAGGACAACCCACACCCCCAATCATTAGATTTTATACATGGAAAACTATAACAAATTCATAAAAATTTCTGTGTATAGAATTGAATACATAAATGTGGTTAAAAAAAAAAAAGGATCTAAACTCATTAGAGCAAGCTAGCAAGAAACCTTGATTTATATAATTTAGATTTTAAAATTTAGATTTGTTGCATTTAAATATTCTTTAAGGAAATTATATTTTTAATTGCTTGGTTCTTGCATGCAAATAAATATATTCTTTTGTAAATTTGGCACTCATTTTTGCTAACCATGAAGATGCACCATGTCTATGGACACTTATTTAAGCAGTTATAAAGTATAATGTACATTTGTTTGGATATTTAACTCTTGCAATGCAGCTTGGTTTATTCTGAATCCTATTTTGATACCCTAGATACCCAAGAAGAATAAATGTATAAAAGCTTGTTTTGCATTTGAAACAGCTTTCTTAAATTTAAAGCAGTCATATCTGTAGTTATTGTTCCTGGTTATCCTGTCCTTTGAGATTTTAGAAGGAATATCTGTCTTATCCTCACATACTTGGGCACTTTGAATACATAATTCACTCACCTTCCCTCAAGAGAGTTGAGGTACAATGGTAGAACAGGATGAATCAGCTGCCTATCCTATCTGTTTGCACATCAGCAACAGAACTAAGTTCACTCAAAATATTTTTTGTCCTCATTGGCTCTTAAAAGTATATTCACCTGTTGTGCCTTGAGCCAGCTGTTCTTTTTGCATAACCTTTGGCTGTGGTTTGATATTTTATAGGCAGTGGTGATCCCTAAAGAATCTTCTGAATACGCTACAGTTGCAAAGCTGTTTCAACAGACAATGAAAGGTTATGTTATCCACTGTATGAAGAGGATTCAGAACCCATCCCTTTGGCAAGTCTTTCAGTGGTTTGTATCCGATTTATTGCTTTATCTTGGTTTCTACAATAGAGATGGGGACTTCACTTCCAAGGCCTGCTTTCCTGTGGCTGTGTAGTGGTGACTGACATTAATTTTGATGGAAGTTGCACAGAATAGAATGCAAAAACTTGTTTTAGCTGTACAAATACTTAAGGGCATTTTTAGAAGAGCCATTCCATCTCTTCTGGCAAGTAATGCGCTATCAGTTGCTCTTAGTGAATTACTGCAGAGCCTTGTCTTAGGCAGCTCATCTGCTATACAGAAGATATCCCATTTTCTATGTAGGGAGCCTTAAAAAACACTTCCAGAAAAAGTAAAAGGATGCGAATAGGACAGAATTGGGATGAAGGTACATTCATTGCATTTGTTAGATTGAATATTGTAAGTTATCTATAATAGTAGAGCTTTAACTGGTTACTCATGTTCAAGAGGAGACTGTGTCCATTACCTGTGCCTTAATACAGTTGCTAGAGCAGATCAAATCTTTTAATGGATATAATTTCCATGTTACATATTGTTAAGGTTACATATTGTTAGCTCCTTGAAAGGGCTCTTTGTTTAAGATAGCCAATATTGAGCTGCAGTGCATTACAGTTTGGTTTATTTTTTATTACTCAGGTGTTGTAGCTGTTTTTTTACTTTATTTGCAGCAAAATCAGCCAATTTAATAATGATTGCTATTGGGGAAGAGGCATGTAATATACTTAGAGCAATTCATTTAGCTTTACAGGCTAGATATGGGCTCCTTGCAAGCTGGACAACCCACCTCCAGTGGCAGGGCAGCAGCTTGTTGGTGCAGCTTTCTGAGCCACTGTGTCAGCACAGCTGTGGAACCCAGGGGGTGAATACTGCCACTGCTCACTTCACCTTTCCTTTGGCACTGATTGGAGTCACAAACAGCAATCAAAAAACCTTAAACTTGGCAGTAGACAAGGGGATGGTTGAGTGAGTTGCTGCAGCATTCACTTCCTGGGTTCCAGAGCTGTGTCAGTGCTGTAGTTCGGAGCTCCATGAAGCCCTGCACTGACAAGCCTTTGGCCTCCAGTTGGACAGCATGGAATTATAGACTGTTGCCCGCCCTCAGGCTATAGAGCACGATTAAGGTCTGTGTAACAGGGGCTCAGTCTTGAGGGATGGCTGTAGTGCCCACTATGGGCCATCTGATACCTGTTCTACTCCAGTTTCCCCTATCTGACCTCCTCCTCTCTCACCTGCCATGTTTAAGTGTAAGTGGCTAACAGATTTATTAGGCTGTCGTCAGATACCCAGATTTTGGCTTTTGGTGCCTTGCAGCCTGCTCATCATTAGGCTACAAGTTGACTCATCCTCATCTCAACAGGAGTAGGGCTCTCACTCCTGTCTGGATGTGCTGGATCTTCCAGGGTTTGGCCCCTTTTATCTTTAGTACCTAGTTGCCCACTGGGTACCAGATGCTAGTAGGGCTCTGTAGAGGCCTTAGCCTTTCACAGCAGGGAGTGTTTCCAAGGCACTTCACCCTGTGACCCCTTCTAGTTCTAGTTACTTAGTTTGAGCATTGGCCCCTCAGCCCCACCTGCACCCAACTTTAGAGCACCAGCCCTTCTAAGCTGCCTTCTCCTAGGTCCAAACAAGCTGCCCTCTAGGCCCTTGCTCATACCCATCTCATACAGGCTGCCCTTCATGGGGACTTACTCTTCCAAGCTCTTCTCCAGTAGTTTCTGTCCCAGTGCTCTGGGCCACAGCTTGGCCTGCACATGCCAGCTTCCAAACCCCCAGCTCAAGCAGACAGTATTCATCTCTGGTCTCTATTATTCTTTTTTCCCCACCCATCTGCTGGGTCCTTGGCTCCATTGCAGTGGGCTCTGCTTGGGCCCAGGCCTTGGTGCTCTTAGTTGTAGCCAGCTCACTTCCCCTGACCCTATACACAGCTTAAAACACAGAGTGCCCCAAGCATCCTGCTGTGTGGTCTCCATCCCTACAAATACCACCTGATAGCTCAAACAACAACAGAAACAAAACATAACTTACCTCTCCACATACTGCACCTGCAAAGCTTCTTCTGCTGTGAGGTCCTAAACCAGTATGAACCCTTAGCCCTAAGCTCAGGCTTGTGTGGCTCTTTCTCCTCCCCTTCCAGTCACCTGACCTGGCTTGCTGCTAATAGCCAAGTGTTCTGCTGCAACCTTCTTAATTGGGCTCCTTGCAGGCTGCACTTGCTCCAGGTAATGGGGGAAGAGGTCCCGTTACAGTCTGTTGGTGATAGATCCAATAATCTAAACCAAAGCTGTTCAACTGGTCGTGCCCAAAGGCTTAAACTGTAGCTCTTGGGCTCCTGGTCTGAGTGTTGCTTCTCCCAACACTCTCCTGCTGTGGCCATCAGAGTCCCTGGGCTTTTCCTCCCTCTTCCAGCTTTTGCTGCCTGCCCCCACCCCTTGGGAATAGTTAGGTGCAGGGTGACCCCAGGGTGAGTCTGTGGCTGGGAGGGACCTGGAGTGCCAGCATAATGCAGTTGTGGGGGAAGATAAAAGGGAATGCCCATGTTGTGTGGGGGGGACTAGCACAGTGCTGTGGTGTGGGGTGCCCACAGCATGGCACAGTGGAGGCTGCCCATGTGGAGAGTCATGTGGCTCAGGCGACTCTGAAGTTGGACAGCCCTGTTCTAAACCTTTAGAAGCTGCAAAGTCCACTGAAGTGAAGGCATATGCAAGTAAAAGACATTTTAACCAATGAACCAGTATTGGTATCACTGTTTAAAACCTCAAAAACCAGGCTTGGCTTCTTGTTTTTGCAATTTTTTCATATTCCTTTTTTTTCCAGATTATCTGATTCTATTTTCCTTTTAATTCTGAGCCATTTCTGAGGGGTTCAGTATTGCTGTCTTGCTCAGTAAAATGGTTTCTGAAAATCCATGTGAGGTCTGATAATGGAAATGCAGATAGTGCCTCCAAATTAATTTTCTTCTTTCCTTCTCTATCTTTTACCTCATATGCCCTTTATTTTCAGACTAGCAGCCCTTATCTGAATGCCAGTGGAATGAAAACAATGATAGCTGAACCTCATTCGTCTTACATATGCAAATGTATGCGTGCAAAGAGAATTCTGTCTCTTTAACCAACGTATTTTTCACATCAGGCAAAAGGAGCAGATGAGAAAGAACAACGGAGGAAAGGATGTATACGAGCGGCTCCTGTTCCATGGAACCAGCAGTTCCTTTCTGGAATCCATATGC